TCAATACAAATATTAAATTAATCTAATATTGTACAATAAAAATAATTAAAACATGTGATGATTGGGTGATGACGAGGACAAGTAATAGTAATTGTGAATAATGATTAATAATAGTGTTGGCTAATTATATAGTCATGAATAATAACTATTAATAGCAATCTGAGTTACACACTGTCGAAAAATTATACTAAAAATATAATTTAGAAGATAACAAATAAGCATAAAAGAACGATCAGATTTCAAGTTTACATAAAAATATATAATTTATACTAAAAAGAATCTCAAATGAAAAAGAAAAAAGATGATCACAAGTTTACATTACAGTAGTTCTAATATTACCCATTTTCTTTTACCTTCTCTTTTTTCTATGAAATTTAATTTTAATATTTAACTTTCAGAAGTTCATATATAATTAATTCATATTTAATCTAAATATTTTTATAGCTTCTCTTCTATAAAATTACATGATTAACAAAAAATTTCTTTTATTTAAGTAATTATTGATATTAATATGTAATTTTATTTTACTTTTTTTCATAACGATATGAAGCACAACTAAATACGCTAATCTTCAAATAAATGGAAAACTATTCTAAATAAATAAATAACTTGTTTATAGATCAATTTAGTGCAGTAGTGTCACGATAAAATCATAATTTTTTTTACCAAACTTTTAGAATACGCTTATTTGAAAATAATTACTTTTTGGAGGATAAATTCGTGTTTATAATCATTAATTTAAATATTTTTGTCTATATAAAATCAACAGCTTAATACTTCTTCCGTCTGGTACTTTTTATCATGATTTTTATTTTAAGAGTTAAATTAAAGAAAAAAATTTGACTTACATTTTAACACAAATTTTTTCATCATATTAATATAAATTAAAGAAAAAACTTTTTGACTTACATTTTAACACAAATTTTTTCATCATATTAATATGTAAAAATTGTAATTTATAGTACTTTTCATATAGTTTTAGAATATCTATTTTTTAAAAAAAATATCGAATTAATGTAATCTAATTTGCCTTTAAAAATTAATCAAATTGACTTTTGATAAGCATAACATAACAAACAATTTCGGACGGAAGAAATACTTCAAAAGTAAATAAAATACAATACTTTTTTAAATTCTAAAAATAACTTCCTCCATTACTCAAAATTACTCTCTCTCCCATTTCTTTCGTATCATTTTTAGAGTGAAATAATAAGAATTTTAATTAATATTTTGTAATAAATTTTTCATCACAATACTAACTAAAAAGTTATAATTTTAATATTTTTAAAATTAATTAAATTAACTTTTAGAAAGCTGGTTAAACTAAAAAAAAGAATCAAATTGAGTAATTTTATTGCTTAACACTTAGCCAACCACGTCAAACTTTTTTAAAAATAAATAAACACGTGTTTTTGGCCAAACAAGCTATCACACAACCCCATTTTTGTGGGCTTTTATCAGTTGCCAAATTTTCAACTCTAGTCACTGCTGCTGCTGCCATGGCTACTCATAGCAATTTGAAGAATGCTTTGATTGCCTTTCTTGCTCCACTTCCCTCTTTACTTTTCTATCTATCTTTCCTTCGCCATTATCATGAAGATCATCCAATCTACAATTGGTGTTACCACCACCCTCTTCTGTTTGCTAATGTCTTGTTTTTCTTCAATGTCAATATCCTCTTCTATGCCATTAGTTACATCCAATCTAGTCACTGGGTAATTTTAGACTAACCAATTTCTTGTAAGATTTGATTTGGGTTTTTGTTGAAATATGATAATTTGATTTGTATTCCAAAATTTACTTTGGCTAACTTGGATTTTATCATTTCGGGCTATTTGATGAATTGGGTTATTGTTGGAATTTGATTTTCAGATGATAGATTTGTTCTGGACTGTGATTCCAGTAATGCTAGTGCATTTCTATGCAAATCATCCATTGGCACAGTATAATGTGTGGAGGTCTAAGGTGGTTATACTTTTAACTTGGATTTGGAGTATAAGACTTACTCATAACTACTTCCGTCGCGAGAATTGGCAATGGGGACACAGGCAAGATTGGAGATTTACAGATATGAGCCACCAGTATGGCAAGAACTGGTGGTGGATATCTTTCTTTTTTGTTTATTTCTCTCAGCAGGTGAGATTCTTTATCTGTTTGATTAAATGCCCTAATGAATTCACTTCTTTGTTTCTTTTCTGTTTATACTAAACTGTGTAAGCCTATAACAACAGATTAGCAAGCGGTCATCAATTTATTGTTGAAATGAAACACATAATTTGTTCGTGAACTATTCATTCAGAATTCAGGACTTTGTTTTGATGGTATTAGAAAATATGTATGATCATTTATGCAACTTCACTCAATGTCAGACTTCTATTCTTAGTAATTTTGTGATGCAATGAGAACTGAGAATTCAAAGCCTACTGATATTGCCTGTTTTAGAATTTTCTTTCCCTTTGATGTAGCATACCTAATTGCTTTAATAGATTGTCGTGTTGTCTTCAAGTGCTAAATCAAGCCATAAAAGAGTTTGCCTCACAAACAAGAAATGCTTTCTAAGTTCTTCCCTCAAAGTTTTTGTTGTTCGGATGATACCATCTCTAGTTTTGATACAAAACACGAGGTTCTATGAATTATTTAGTCCATTTATGTTTTTATAAGGCAATTCTCAGATGCAAAATGATCCATTATTTCACAATTACCACTCACTTTAGTTAGTATTTTCTACTTGCGCTACGATATAAACAAAAACATTGTTTGCTCAAAAGCATGGTACTGGTTAAGATCATACCATGGTGGATTTTCACTAAAGGACCTACCTTCTTGGCCTTCACCAAGCATTAGCAAACAGCTTTCCAAGCATTTTCGACAGCCATTTTATTGTTTGCATTAATTGTGTAAAGTCGAGTCTGGTTGCTGTAATATCTTGAAATGTGACAAATTGAATCTGGTGGTGGAATGGAGAGACATTAGTGACTCCTTTATCATACTCTATGGTTTTATTTATTTTTGACATTGTTTTGCAGATTTTTCTGATTGGTATATGCCTGCCTATGTATGTTGTCCACTCTGAAGACAAGCCATGGAATATCTGGGATTTCATTGCTGTATTCATCTGCTTGTCTGCCATTATAATTGCTTATTATGCAGATACAGAGCTCTACAATTTTGTGAGCAGAAACCAGAAACTAAAAGAGCTCGGCAAGCCAATGGTTCCCAATCTTGATGAAGGCCTCTGGAGGTATTCACGACATCCAAACTATTTTGGAGAGCAGTTATGGTGGTGGGGACTCGTCCTATTTGCCTGGAACTTGGGTCAGACTTGGACTTTTGTTGGTGCACTCGCTAATAGCTTGTGTCTTGCACATGTCACTGTGCTTGTTGAGAATAGGATGCTTAAGCAAGCCTACAGAGCTGAAGCATACAAACTCTACCAAAGGACAACATCTGTGTGGATACCATGGTTCAAGTCATCCGCAAAAGGGAAAGATAAGGAAACTTGAGTCTATTTTCAATCTCTTTGGTGTCTTCCTTTGTTAAATGTCGACGATAAGATTTAGAATTATTGAATAAATAATCTAGTAATGTGCATTCTAATTATGTGTCTTTTACAATTCATTTGCTTGCAACTGTCCCATCTCATTCATCCAATAGCCTGAAAGCTTGCTAAGAAGAAACAAAAATATGATAATTGTTCTGCAGAAACATGCATAATACATGTAAGAAGGTAGGAAGAAATCAGACCAACTGAATCCAGATATCTCAACATGTATCATATGTTGAAGGGAGTTCGAAGAATGGACAAAAACAACAACCAAATTACTTGCTTATATGTTTTAAAAAAACTATCATCTCCATACACTTGTAGTTTAGTCCAGCATAGAATTGAGAATTGTCCCCACTTCTATCTCACTGTACTTCCTGATGTTGTTTCTCAATCCAACATCTGTTTCTTCCTTCCGTCCAATATGATTTGCGGCAAAATTTGCAACTGTTCGTAAGTCTGACAAACAAAAAAATGAATATTTCTGTAATTCTTTCATTAGAATAGCGACAAGAGAATAATGTGAAACCTTTAATCCATTGAGATCATGCTAAAAGGGAGAGAGCTCAAGAACTTTAAGATTTGAGCTCATGATTTGTTACTGATGGCAGAATCATAGGCAAAGAAGTGCTTCATACATATAACTCCCAAGCTGGTTGTAGTAATAAGTAGATAATATGATGAAGTTGTCTTGGTAGAAATATGACCTGTTTTACTGATCTTACAGATTTCTTCCTTCTAGTATCAGTCTCCTTTACAACACATGAAATTTCATACCTTGGGCTTAAATCTTATTCCGATACTTCCTGGAGAGCTGTCAATGGAAAGAAAGCAAACAATATAGAAAGAAATTTGTTGAATTTTCCATGGCTACACTTAAGATAAAGCTTGATCTAGTAGAAGCATTGAAGATAGTCTTGGCCTCTAGAGTTGGAACATTAGTTGTCTTCTGCAGCAATTTATCAATCAAGTATTTAAGTCTTATTCCTGTTTACTTGCAACTAAAAGAACATTCTTATTTCAGTTTGCTTACAACTATCTCTTTTAAAAATCTTAGTTCAGTTGTTGGGGAAGTATGATATCTTGAGAATGTAATCTTGATACTCCCTCAACCATTTCTTGTGCTGAACAGATTTATTATGAGAGATCAGGACTTATGTTTGCAATAGAAGGGTCTTTTTTATGAACTCGTTATGGAGTTATCTTTTTTTTTTAATCAAAAGAAAAGAGAAGGCACATTGCTCATGTGAAGAACCAGTATGTGGAGTTTGTACAGTTCACCGAAAATATTTGTATTAAAAAATAGAAAAACCATGTATATATAGCCATGTTTTTAATAGGATTCATCAATCAATAACAAGTACATCTAGTCTAATCTCTAGAAGTGGAATGTACATGAAATTTGGGCTACGAATTAAACTATGCCTACAAAATTGAAAATAACATAGTTGCAACTCTATGCCTTGTCTTCTATACTGTTTGCAGAAACTCCTTCTGGTGTAGCTGTTCCTTTGTTAGCGTTGAGGTAGCATCTGCAAACTTCAAGAACAGCAGCAACAAAGGCCAACGAAGCAAGAAAAGCAATGTAAGCATTCTTCCAAATCCCGACATCCATCATCTGGAAACCTTTGAAACAATTGAGAATTCCCATTATAATAGTACCATAACCAGTGCACCAGTGATAAATATTCCAATACACCCTGTATTTGTGTTCCTTTGATGGCCGTAGACGATGAGCTAACACTTGTAATGTTGCGAGCACTAAAAGTGCAGCACCAATGTACCTATGACAAGAGTGTTGTTTAACTGAAGAAGATTGTCTCCCAAGATAAAATCCCAAACCTCCACCAGCAATACCAAGAAAATAAGCTATACTTTGACAATAAATATGTAGATTGAACCACAAAGCTGGATACTCTTGTAATCGTAGGTATCTCAATCTAGCAAGAACAACACCAAGTGGCATCATCATTCCCCAACTAACCGCATTGATTACACCATGTGCTATCTTTATCTTAGACCTTGAATTTAGTTTTACATTAGGACTACTCATAGCCACAGTTTTCCCAGAATGGAAATTCAAAGTCCCAAAAGATCTCAAGTTATCTCCTGACATGCCATGACTTCCTGGTGTATCATCATCTTGTAGTGCTCCTTCTTGCCAAACATGATTCACAACATTGCTTCCATTCATAGGTAGCTCAAACCTCGCAAAGATGATGACTTGTCCATCGGTATACTGGGCTGAAACATTATGAACCGTAAAGCTCAAGTCACCTTTCACAAGGGTGGTTCCATAGGTGTCGATAGGTGACGTGTATGCTTCGAGAGTACCATCAGAACGTTGTAATGCAACAAAAGCCTGGGAGCCGATCATCCCTGTAGATGTTGGGTTTATAGCCCAAGCAAGCCATCTTCCGTGCTGACTTTGAGACTTGCTAAAGGCGATATCGACAGTACGAGAAGTCATGTCGTAATTCCAGTGAATAAAAGAATTCAAAGTATGAAGATGGCTGCATGAATTGTAGGATTTTCCATGGAAGTGGAAATAGGAGCAGTTGGTTCGAGCATATGATGAGAGGAAGCATAGGGAGAAAAGGAAGCAAAAAAGCAAGAGGTTATTAGAGTATGCCATCAAGTACGTAGTTAATTTCTTATGATGAGAGGGTGGTGTATTTATAATATGCGTGAACTAGGTTAGTCAAATTTGGAAATTAGGATCTATAATCCCATTATGAGTGGGAGTAGGCCTTTTTTTAAAGATCAGTACTAATTTTTAAATATAAGGTAATTTTTTTTAAAAAAATGCTTTTAATTTGTATATTTAATTAAACTAATCCCATTTATGGATGGACTAGGCTATACTAGAATTTGGAAGTAAATCACATTATGAATGTGAATAGGAAAACTCACTCACATAAAAATATTAGGAAATACTACTACTATCATTCTCTACTATAGAGATGTATAAGACGTCTCAATTTATGAGAAAGTAATAAAATAGTTTTAGATAGTTGGATCATTTGATCAAATATTTTTGTCCAATAGAGTGAAAAAGTAGTTACTTTCTAAAGTTATAAAAAATAATGCATACACGAATTGTGGTAAACAATGTGAAGGATATAAAATCACATATAAATTAGGCTGTGTATAAATTTATAACTTCCTGTATGAAGATTTTATGGGAATATTTAATTGAGAATGTTCGTTGATATTCCGAAAAGAATAAAATTGGGGTAAGTTAGGATATGACCCATTTTTAGTTTTTTAAGGATAATTACAATACAATGTATTTGGGTGATTTAATTTATAAAAGGGCAATTTCAAATATATACCGTAAAGTAATTAATTTACGATAAATATAGTCATGTTTTTATTACATAAAAAATACCCAAAAATTATAGAAAATATACACTAACTCACAACATAACTCGCAATAAGTCATAGGAAATATACATTAAATATATAATATATCTCTCTTATAAATGAGTTATGCACTTACATTATTATATACACAAAAAGCTGAATATAGATTAACTATATACAAAGTATACATTAATTATACATGAAGTATACACTAACTATTCAATCTCTATCAACCAAAAATCACTTCTAAAAAGTTTCAAATTTTAGATATGAAATCCTCTCTATGTTTCAAGTCTTTCGGAAGAATAAGAAGAAGTAAACGACACAAAGAAAAAGGAGGGAGGGGGGTCATACTAGGAGGATTATACAAATATACCCGCAAATTATACAAATATGCAAATTATATAAAATCGGTAAATTATACAAACGAAACAAGCTAAAACTTATAAATATGCATACTATAATGTATAATTAAATGGAAAAATAACTTAAATATACAACTATAAGTTTTATGTTCTCTAATTTTCCCTTCTGTTTTTAAATGTTACATAATTCCTTTTTTTTTTTAATTTTAG